TATGGGGCTATCAAGATTTTAAAGAATTTCTAGCCAAAAGTTGATATAAAATATTCTTATTTCATGTGATTTGTACATAAAAATGACTAGCATCCTAGTTTGCCACTATTTCGCACAAGCCTATCGCACTCATTGGGTAGGCATAATGCTGACTTGACTAAACTAGCAAAAAAGTAAACATAAAACCTTTAGCTCACCAAAGCTCGCCAGCTATCAAAAACTTTTAAAATTTCTAATAATCATAAAAACATATTTTACAACGACAGTAAACAAATGAGAACACGTGTCGAAGGCAAATTCTGGTAGCTCAGCTAAATTTTAATACAAGAATTTAACGTACCTTCTTTAAACGTGCTAATTAGTCCAACTTTTAGCAAACTCAAACGCAAAATTGTTTATCATATCAAGTTATACACACGCTACGTCAATGTAAGCTTTTTAAATACGATAGTTAATGTAAATTGTGAGATAAGATACAAAGTAGTTTAGATGACTAACATAGGTTTTCACTAAATTAGATTAAGTTTTGTAAACCATTCAAGACAATTTTTTGTATGACAACTTTTGGTGGATAATTTTGGCCACAAAAATTGATTTTGAGTTTGATGATGTTGAGATAAACTTTATGCACCAACGTGGTCCGAGAAAATCTTGTCATTGGCCAAAACTTCAAGGCACTTGCTTCGTTCTATCCAATGGAATATCATGTATTTTTCAAAATCTTCAATTTACCTCTGGTTCCGGAATAATTTATAATTCAAAGGATGAGGATTATGTTAAGATTTGTATTTGCAGGGCATAAGAGCACACGAACATAAAGTTTTTATAAATAATTAGCATTTTAGCTTTCATGTAATAAAACTTGTTTGAAATGGTTTTCTTGTGCTACAGTGCTGTCCAATCATGTTTTATGCTATTATTTCCAAAGAACATTTTATAGCAATATTTTTGGCAAATTAATAGTTGCGTAAATTTTCAAAGTTATTTTACCCTAGAGTTGAAACCAACTCACATCAATAGGATGGCTATTGACCTTTTAAATGAGGTATCACTCGAACTTGAAGTTACTTGGCCACACCCTGAATTTGGTGAGCAAAAAGAAGAAACCTTTAAAGCAGCTTGATATGGGGCAGGGTATAGGACTTCATATAGAGCTTGGTAATATTAATGCAAAATCCATATGTCATATGGAGTTTTAAATTGCAAATTTGAAATCAGCACCCACAAAATAGCTATAACGCGTTATTTTACTGTTTCAATAGACGAAACACGGCAGTTATTAGTATTTAAGTCAAATCGCTATGATTAAGTGCCACGCCCTTTTTCTTAATTTTTGAACAGAACAGCAAAACTTTGGAAGGGTATATTTCGAAAAAAATTTGAGATAATTTACTCAAAATTGGGTAATTTTCGTGATTGACCAAACTATAGAGATGGACAAAAAAGGTCCTAATTCTGTGACAACATAATCACAATTTTCTCAGGTGTGTGAATTTGTAATATCACTATTGATTTTATATGGAATGACCATCAATGGATCATCACTCTGGATAAAGTTTAGCCTTACCACTAAACGGCTAAATGCATTTTAATAAACAAAGATAGCTAGATTAGTTTATAACACAGTAATTAAAACGCGTTGCATCAAGTGAAATCGAGGTAAAACTTCATCTTGACAGATTACGCCTGACATATTATCCTCACAGAAATAAGAAATAGCTAATTATCAAATGGCTATTGAAGTTCCAAAATTTGAAGGTAGAGATCTCTAATTTTTAAAAAACATGCTAAATTTAGAATTAATTGATCACTCAGAGTTGATTAGTCAAGTAAAACCCACTACTTGTGATTTAGAAATTGTAGAATAAACGTTGCCAATGTCTGATAACTAAAGAGTCAATGAAATGTTTAAAAAATTATGAAATAATTTTGATCTAGTTCGAACAGTCAAAAAATTAAGCTGACCTGTCTGATGGATAACGAAAACACTAATACGTGCTACCTTGAAATGATCTGTTTCCCATGCCAGAAATTCTAATGTAGGCCGGGGCTTGAACATGGGCTTGAGCTGGGGCTGGGGCTGGGGCAGGGACTGGGGCTGAGGCTGAGGCTGGGGCTTGGTATGGGGCAGGGTGCGAGATTTGATATGGGGCTTGGTATGGGGGCCGATACTGGGCTGGGTATTGGGCTGGGTATTGGGCTGGGAATTGGGCCGGGTATTGGCCTGGGTATTGGGCTGGGTATTGGGCTGGGTATTGGCCTGGGTATTGGACTGGGTACGGAGCTTGTTGATATTGTACCCCAGACACCCCTGTGGAAATCTGCTTTTCGATCCTTGGTTGCTGTGCTGGTGGGGGTAGTGCATTGTGACTTGCGTTATGAGAGTCATCTTGGCGGTGCACAATCTGCGGCCCGCTGACTGAGCTTTCTGTCCCAAAGAATATGTCTTTCTTTATTGTGTATTCAACTTTTTTTGTTTTCCAGCTGAAAAAAGCTCTGTACACCCAAGTTAAGCCAAAAACGGTGGCAACCCAATAGGTGAAGAGATTCATCCAGAAAGATCGGTATCTAGCATCAGCATAGGCACAAAACCGTTTCTGGAACCCTTCAATGATATCAACGTACGAAAAGCAAATACTTTCATCTCTGTGTTTATTTTCTTCAATCATTTGTTCTTGCATTTCATTGAATTTTTCCGTAGTTTGAGCGTCGCCGCAGTTAACAGATTGTTCAAGCTTTAGACGAGTGACGCTTTGCGAGTCAAACTGTATGCCCCCCGGATCAGAAACATCAGCTGATCGGGCGATTGGGAAAACCTTGTTTTCTGTGTATGTAATCACTATCACTTGATAGGTTTCTAGCCTTCTCTGGGTGTTTCCTCGTGCGTCAGTGTAAGTAACTGTGCGGGTTCTCGTCTCCTTGTGGTAGCATTTGACCGTCATCTGCCTTACAGGGTCGGTATTTTTCAATTTGTTGACGTATTCAATAACAGATATATCTGTAGAAAAATTTGCAATGTATTGTTTTTCAGAACTGTAGCACGACTCAAACAGCATAAAGAAGTATCCGAATAACAACATTATAAACCCCATGATCACTAAATCTCCAAAAATCTCACCATACTGAGCACACTTAGAAGTCCCGCATACAGAAAGATAGAGTATCCAGCATATGCATGTGATAAAAGCATGAAGCGAAATAATGCGGAGGGCACTTTTGCCTTTCTTGAGTCCAATGAACAGATGAATAATCAGTATTATCATTTGCAATAGGGGGACAATCGTCAAACCCAGTGGCCTAAACCAACCGGGCATCTTGGTCCGATATGACGTAGCGCTTCTTCTGTTTCTCTGCTTCAATGGTAACTTTTGCATTGTAACTGGTGCTTTTCCTGCTGATTTTTGGGGTGGTACATATCTGCACTGTTGTGTGCTTGTCCACTCAAACAAATAATCTCCTTGTTGGCACTGCGATATAAAGAACGACGGCTGGTAGGATTTTCTGCAAAAGACTGAAGCAAGGCTCGATTCTTCGAGACTGTAATTAATAACTTTATGAGCTGAAGACGGATAAATATATTTGTGACATCGTGGGGACACTTTGCTGCAGGTAAGCCCGCGGTAGGCTTCATCACAAATGCAAACAGTTTCATTTGTAAGACTGTTTTGTCTGCAAGTGCCTCCATTCAAACAGGGGTTCCATTCAGCGCACGAGGGGGAAGTGCCATTAATGACTCTTAGTGGAAGCCCTCTGCACCGAATGCTAGTAGGGTTGGTAAATCTCTCCCATGACGAGCCTCTTGATATTTCCCAAACAGATGTGATGTATTCAGGCCTAAAGGCGCTGTCTTTAGCTCTCAAAATTGGAGAATAGCCTTCTTGCTTCACCATCCAAAAAGGTCTTTGATAAAAGAGAATCAGTTTTGTTATTCTACTGTGTCTGTATATTTTTCGGTCATTCTTGTAGCTATTATAATATTCCTCGAAATAGTCGCTTAGATGGTTATGCAGAACTCCGCCATTATCCAAACTCGTGAATGTTCTATTGAAATACACACGACCTGATGAACAGCGGAACACATCATTTGGAACACAAATCAACTTCATCGCGTCATGGCGATACAGATAACGGTACGATTCAGATTGCCAGTCAAAATATCTCCAATAGCTGATAAACTTCTGGTAGGGTTGCACCGTGTTACCCTTAGTTATCAAGCTCTGCCATGATTTCCCATCGAAATCACTTTTCATCTTCACGTACAAGCCCACATCACTTCTCTTCGAGGTTGACATTTTTAAGTATTTAAATGCCATTGAATTTTCCCCATTTTTATTGATGTATTCAAAAACGAAATTCCTTTCTTCGTGCTTGAACATTGGGTGTCCATTACTTTCATTAAACTTGCGATAGATGCCTACAAGCTGAACATAGGGCATTCTCCTCTCGTCTCCATGATCGAAGTAAAGCCTTTCGCAAGGACTCGAAGCATGAAGTTTTGCGAAACATAGAGTAAAGATGATACAACAAGTTGAGATGATCGCCATTGAAGGAATCTTTCTACCAGCAAAGATAAAATAATTCTGTTCTTTAAGACTTCCCGCCAACCGTGCTCATCAGCTTCCCTAAATTATCTGACGAAGCCACGCATCCAGCTTGCTTTTATATGCAACCCTGATAGCGTTTCCACTTAAACGAAAGCGGTCGAATCGATCGACGTCGATCGATTCGATCGATAATCCGAATCCACAGACCAGTTTTCACTTAAAAACGAAAGCGGTCGAATCGATCGACGTCGATCGATTCGATCGATAATCCGAATCCACAGACCAGTTTCCACTTAAACGAAAGCGGTCGAATCGACCGCCCTCGATCGACATCGGTCGAAAGAAAATTCACGATAAAAGGTCAATAACAATAGGCCAATAGATATTTTTCAGAATGGGTTTGACAAGAAGGCAAATTATAGTTCTGCTATTGTTAAGAAGACGGCAAAGACGACGAAGTAAAGAGAAGGAAAATTAAAGGATTCGGGTTAGGAAGTTATACGCAGAGCGAAAAGAGAAGGGTGAATATCATTTGTTGATCAGAGAAATGAAATTGTATGATCATATGCTTTTTTACCAGCAATTTAGAATGACACCGGAAAAATACGAACATTTTTTGCAATTGGTAGCTCCAAAAATTTTAAAGAGTTGTGTAAAAAGGGAAGCAATTCAGCCAGGGGAGCGCTTATCAGTCACTCTCAGGTATCTTGCAACTGGAGATGCACAAACTACTATTGCAGCAAGCTATAGAATGAGTAAAACTTCTGTTAGTAGGATCGTTAAAGAGACTACAGAAGTAATTTGGACTGAGCTGTTTAAAGCAGGATATCTTAAGGTCCCAAGTAGCGAAGACGAATGGAGAAAAATAGCAGAAGAATTTGAGGAGAAATGGAACTTTCCAAACTGTGTTGGTGCAATAGATGGAAAGCACGTTGTTATGCAAGCCCCTGCCCGCAGTGGGTCATTCTTTTTTAACTATAAAAAGACCCACAGTATAGTATTGATGGCTGTTGTGAATGCCAACTACGAATTTACAATGATCGACATCGGAGATTCAGGAAGACAAAGTGATGGAGGAGTTTTTGCAGCAAGCAAGCTTGGTTTTGCTATTGATAATGGTTTGTTGAAACTCCCTAAAGCTAGAATGTTGCCAGGGACTAATGATTTTTTTCCGTATGTTTTCGTTGGAGATGAGGCATTTCCTTTAAAGCCTTACCTAATGAAACCATATGCAAGAAATGCGATGGGTACCGAGGAGCAAATCACTAACTACCGTATTTCCAGAGCTAGGCGTCAAGTGGAAAATGTTTTTGGTATATGTGCCTCGAGATTTAGAATTTTTAGAAGGCCAATAATTGCAGAGGTTGAGACAGTTGTTTCGATTACAAAAGCCGTGGTTGCCCTTCATAATTACCTTATGTTTGGGAGAAAATTTGGAGAAGTAAGCAACTATTGCCCACAAGGCTATGCTGAAGGAGACTGGAAAAATCTGGACTCTATCTGCGATGGGTTATTACCAATCAGAAATGCTGCCTCGCATAATTATTCAAGAGATGCTCGTCAGGTTCGGGAAAACTATAAAAACTATTTCAATTCAGAAGCAGGCTCAGTTGATTGGCAGAAAGACAGAATAACTAGAACAGCAGATCCATTTGACATTTGATTAAAGCTATTTCTTTTAATACAACGATTGTAAAATATATTTTAAAATAAAATTCATATCGTGTTTCTAAAATAAATTACTGTAAAATTGCGGATTAGAACTCATCATCGTCAAATTCATATTTAAGCAACAATTGCTGAATTTCTATTTTGGCTTGTCTGTTCTTTCTTGGAGGGAGGTTCCTTAAAATTGGAACAATACTATTTGCGAAACTCTGGTCAGCATCAACTTCTACTCTATTTTCTCCTTTTAATGCTTCGTATAAAAGTTTATCGGGATGCTCATCATCTGAAATTAATAGTTTTCTTTGAGGTAGTGTTGTGGCTTTTCTTTTTCGTTTCCCAGGTATAGTGCTCATCGATTCCAGGCTTGATGCAGGACTTGGGGCAAAAGGGACAGGACTAACAGGCGATGCCAAGCTTTTTCCGAGAATTTCTTGCGTAGGGGCACTTTCCTGTGGCAAGTTGCTGACTGTAGGCCGATTTGTTACTTTATCCCTAAGAAATTGTAGCTGGTGAAAAAGCTTACATTCAGGCAGTGAGCTTGCAGCAGCACCAGATCGTGTCATCAAATCTCTCTTTTTTAAGCATTTGGAAAGGTTTTCTTTGAAGTTTTTCCAAATCTTCTTTAAATCTTCAACTACAACGAAAAAACGGGGTGAGATGAAAAGTATATGCACTTTTATTTTTAGACCATACATGTCAACTAAGAAAGATTTTCAAAACCTATGAGACCCTGGAGTCTCGTAATAACTTATTTGTCTAAAGATCCTTGGTAATTTGCTTGTAAGTTTTTCCCAATTAAGCAATAAACAAAATGTTAATGAAAAATGAATCCAGAATAAATCTATTTTGTGTGCTCTTATGGCTTCAAAACGATTCAAGGGCGAGGAGGGCTTAAACTGAAAGTTAACGCTCACCATTCCTCCCATACTTTTCCGCAATTTCCTCCCAAGCTTTCTGTTTCATCTGGGTATCTTTGAAACCCCTGCAGCTAGTGTCCCATATGCATTTGTACGACCGTACATCTTCAACAAACATTTCATCAAAACTTCTGTCAGCGTCTTCACTGCCCTCAGTAACATTAGCTAAGTAAACAGCTGAATTTTCATCATCGACCAATGCTGAGGCCTCTGTTTCGGCAGAAGCTGCCCCTGTTCGCCAGTTAACTTGTACCCTGCTTTGATTTTGCATGTTGGTAAATAATGCCATTAGCTCTTCGTTAGAATAAGGAACGTTGGAAGCCATACTAGAAAATTATGTTGTTTACAAATAAAATCATACGGCCGTAGCACCATTTTTCTAGTAGCTCTTAATTGCTTGGATTGACTCATTCTGACGTCTAGGAAGACACGCCTAATCTAATATTGCGTTAGTTCCCCTTTTTGAATTAAAATGTTTGGTGGCATTTACGTATTTCAAGTTGGCCTGCCTATTCATAGATTTTTGTTGATTTTTCCACTTCCTGATTTCCTAGTAACTTGATCACATGCTAAAATATACTTAATCTCATTGGTTCAAATACCTGTCTACCGCTATCGATCGAATTCGATCGACAGAAAAGTTCAATTGATTTGAACTTTTCAATCGATCGAATTCGATCGACAGCGGTCGATAGCGGTCGAGGGGGAGTCCGCGGCATGCTATCTGCGCATGTGTGAAATCGATCGATATCGATCGAAATCGATCGATTCGACCGCTTTCGTTTAAGTGGAAACTGGCCTTAAGAACTGCTTAAAAATCTTTCTTTTAAAGATGGGATGGGAAGGTATTCTTTCAGAGAATCAGGTACATATTTCTGATTTGGAAATTTTGTTTTATGCTATGTTGAGCTTTCGTTTGTTGAGTTATGTAGAGCTGCATTTTTGCGCAAGATTGTTCCATTTAAAAAGGTTCTTTAGCAGTTTTGTGCATAGTTTAGTATCAAATAAAAAAATTAAGAGACTTAGAGCTAATCTCGAGTTTGTATGGTCGTACTATAGCTGATAATATAAAATCTTGGAGCATTGGCAACGAAATCTGGAGCGATCAAAAAACGTAGAGCCAAAAAGGCTAAAAATAAATCCACTTGAAAAATAATTATATGCGAATATACCAGCAGAAATTTCTTTTACTATAAAATTTCACTCAAGCGGCACAAGTGAATGAAAATCGTAAAGTGAATGAATATATTTTCTGGTCGGCACGTTTCGTACATCAGGGTGCAATGACCGAAAACCACTTTATTTGTAATTTTCTTTGATTCAAGGATTAAAGAGTTTTTACACCTACTTCGGCGCGATAAGGATTAATGAAACAACTCGGCGGTGCGTGCAAAACAGCAATAATTTGTTTGAAATGAGCTTTGCTTCATGCCCTACAATGCAATGCCGAATTCGCAGCACAAAGCGGCATCTGCATGACCGAATGCTTTTTTAAAACTTTGAGGCAATAAAGATAAGAAAGCGTTTCAGTTTTTAGAGTTCTTGAATCCTGCAGAAAGGGAAGGGAGAAAGAGGAGGGGATTAAAATAGGTTTGGTGAGACACAAATTGATAAATATTTACTAGAATAAAAAGCATATAATACATCGGATGTACAAGCATGGAACAACAAAAGTAAAGAATATTTACATAAGCAAAATTGTCTTCACACTGCAAATGTAGCCGATGCACCTGACAGGCCCTGTTTCCTAGCGGATAGAAGAAAAAGATGTTCTAAGCTAAAACAAAATTAATCTTTCAAAAATTAATGAAGCTTAATGAACAGAATTCTCATTCTCCTTAAAAATTTCTTATGCTATCGATGCAGCAATCTAGATTCCACGTGTAGAAAACTACTTTATGGCACAAATCCACGATTCGCAATCAAAAAAATATCATCCAGTTTTTCGTAGGCTTGTATTGTATTGTATTGTATTTATTGTATCGTATTGTATGGCTATTCTGTTTTGTTTTGTATAGTATGGCTTTGTATTGTATTGCATTGTATTGAATTGTATTGTATCGTTTTTCTGTTTTGTTTTGTAGAGTATTGCTGTGTATTGTATTGTGTAATCTATTTGATGCTAATTTTCACAATAGTAACTAAACATTGACATGCAAAAGCATAGAATACGCTCCTTTTTATATGAATACAATAAATTTCTCCTGCCTAAATATTCTCAAGTGAATATCGCTTCGAGCCTGATAATATTCTTAAAGTGTTCTTATTTTTTCAAATCTGATATGGGTTCAGGAGAACATCACTCACTTTTGAATAGAAACCATAAATTTTTAAAAATAAGATATGTCAGTCAAACGATTCTCTGTAATCGCAAAAATCGCGTAATAGGCAACTGCTGAAAAACAATGGACAAATTTGCGAGCTGAGGCTAAGCAATATTCTTATAAAAAGAACGTATTAATTGCCAAAAATTATTGTCAAGAAATAGATTTTAACTGTTTAACTGTTTCTCTAGGCGTGAAACCCAAATTTTAGGCCCGTAGAAACTTAATGATCCGAGACGACATCTGATAGCTTTTAAATTTAGAAACTCATAAAAATTATACTCATACTCTTTCATGAAAATAAGATTAAAGTTTTAAAGAGTTTCATAAATCATAAGAGCTACCATTGATCAAATAAGTACTGTAGCGTCTTTCCAGAGAGAGAACAAATCTTTGTACAAAAACAAATAGTCCGACAAGGCTGACGTTAATGCCCTCTCGTAAATTCTCTCTAGCTTTCCCGTAAACATAAGACAATTCGCCAAAAGACAATTCGCGGCATTGTTTCGTTCATTTACGTAGAAAAGGATTAGAGAATATGTCGAATTATACCTATACATTAAAAACACAATTTATATGCCGTGTCATTCAGCGAGAACAAAAGCCACTAAATTTGAGCAGCAACACGACGTGGAATGACAAATTTGAATAGCAATTATAAAATATATTCCACAGAAATGCGTTCAGGGCGATTGCCACTGGCCCTTATTTGGCACAACTTCCCTGATCATTAAAAACTTCAAAACGAACAGCCGAATCTGAAACATGCAGAACAAAACAGAGTTAAAACTTACGCTTCATTCACAAATACGTCGAGTGAAATTTTATCAACGTCTGCACCGGTCGGATTTCTGTTGAAATTTGCTATTCCAAGATTTTCCATTGCTGCAAATAGGCAAAAAGTTTTACAAAGAGAGTACTGATAAAAATCTAAACTTAAAACTATAGAAAGATAGCTACAAAGAGAACTATTATAAATAAGTAACAGAAATAAAAACTCTGTTTCAACTGGACCATTAAAAATCGAGATTTTTATCCAAGAAACTTGAGCATATAGAAACAAATTCATCTAAGTGATACCATATTCGTTTTTATAAGAAAATAACCTCTGGATTGGCACACAGTATCCTAATTTTTTGTTGATTTCAGAGCTAAAAGTTTCTTGTCGGTTTTTCGAGTACCAAGCACTAAAGAGCTACTGTTTGGAAACACAAAAACGTAACATGAAATAATATGAAACTGAAAATTTAATAAGTCACAATGCTATCTCTTCTTTCTATTTATTCATGTCAATTAAACAGGAAACAGGTGCCGAATGTTCCAAAAGAAGTTCCACCCGATCAGTCCTGTGGTGTATTTAATAGGCATTATGAAGCTCAGTTTATCATAGATGGTTTCTTGTAAAAACCAACGTTTTGCACCAAGCAGTTTAAATGAACTGCCTCATTCTTGCAACCCTTGTGAAAGGCTGACATCAGCCAACATGATCAAAAATATGAATATTTCTCAACTGCAACTGAAAATTAACAACTGCCAATTTTTCATCATTCAGAACTGAACTGGTATTATTTAGAGGTGATTTGGTATGATTTGCTAAATGTGCAAGCTTTCAGTCACACCGAGAAATTGATAATTCATCTTATAAGACATTTGAAATTTTTTATATTTAGCTTTGCTTCAATGGCAGACAAATGGGGTGAGGGGCATGTTTGCCCCCTCCCCAATACTTTGGAGGACAATGTTTAAAAACAATGGGAAAATGTGATATCATCTCATTAAAACAATAAGCTTGCCCCCCCAGTATTTGACCAAGAAAGTATAATGAAATATAAAAATAGCAGAAAAGGGGAAATATTATACAGAATATTTAGGAATACCTCCTCTCCAGACAGGGGCATAAATTGATGGATATTTTTAGAAGGGTGAAGGGTACAAAATCTCCAATTGACAATAAGCTGAGGTCATTTCCTTTCAGAACTGAGACAATTCTCAACATGTGATTACTCTCAAATTTCTAACTTACTCAAAGAATTTCACAGATTAGGGGGGAGGGGTGTCATACCCCCACAGCCACTTGTATTGTCTGCCCATCTCAAGAATAAGACATTTGAGGTAAGGTCATAATATTGGCGAATGGACTTCAACAAATTGCAGAACTTTGCTTCTATTTCGTGCAAAAATGAAATTTTGTCTTATGAAAGGCTAGAAAATTAGCAATACAAAGATACTACTTAATAACAATGCAAATCAACAAACCTGTCTTGTATTTTTCATATGAAATGTACCCTTGTGAAGAAGGATCTTGTATTCCAAATAGAGATATAATGTTTGACTCATCAAAGATATTCGGATAATCCATCTGTGTAGCTTTTGAATCTTGAAGCCTCCTCAGAAAGTCAATCATATAT